GGCACCAGGGAGCTCTGTGGCACCAGGGCGCTCTGCTGCAGTGTTTATGCTGAGCCTGGGCAGAGCAGGTGTCGCCTTCACCTGGCATCGCAGCGGAGTGAGCAGCGTCAGGGGAAACACAGCAGTGTGTCCTTTAGACTTTGATTTCCATGAGCAGCCAGTGCCATGTATTCAGCGGAAGGAAGGGATGCGAAACTCTGCTAACGTTACTGCTGAGCTAAGTTTGTGATACCCCTTCAAGCTGTCAAGCTTGCGGGTCTGGGCTTTGTTTCTGCTGCAGGGCTGTTTGGGTAGGTCCAGCTTTGTGCAGCCCCTTGTGTGGCTTACACCCTTTCTCCAGCATGTGCAGCATTAATGCCTTGATATAGCACGCGAGCGTAACAGCGATGTGAGCCCTGTGCTGGGGAGGTGGTCTGTGAATTGTTACACTGCCCGGGTGATGCTACCACCTGCAGTGCTATGCTTCCATGTTGCATCAGGGTCTCCTTTATGTCCTTCAAAAAGTCAGGGGTTCCTGGAGTATTTCAGATATCTTCCCATACCCTGAAGGGTACAGCCGTTCACCTCAAACGCAGTGTTATGCAAACGTGCGTAAGGAAAAGTAACCGCTGACTAGATGAGAATGGGACAGCTACTGGGAGCGCTCGAAAGGCCCTGCTAGCAGCTTGCTGAGCTGCCACAAGCCTTCCAGCCGCCTCCAGCTCCGCCGTTCTGACTCGCGTAGCTGCTGGATTCCCCCCGCGCAGGCTGCTCCCAGTGCCCTGCAGGGGTTTGTGTTTACCCTGAGCATCAGCCAGGGTTCAGATGAGCAGAGCTCGTAGCAACCACGGCGATGTCCCAGTCCACAGAGCGAGGCAGGCGCCGCATCAACCTTCCTTTCAGTTCATAGGACACTGCCTCTTTCAGAAGAGCAGATGCCTCAAGAAACCAGTGTTCTGACCAGTGACTATCTTGGGGATTCAGTTAGTTTTTTGAATACAAGCAGTAGTCTCTGGTGGTACGAGAATTATAGTGCCTTGATTCCCCACCTCCAAGTTTTCATATCCTCACCTAATTCCGAACAGGGCAGGGTGCTGACTTGTGCTGTCTTGTCCCTTGAACTCGCAGCTCATCAGGGAGGTGTCTTTGCTGGAGACAATCAGGACAAATCTTAGCTTCTTGTTTTCTTGTGTTTATCCTGCCTTAAACTCTGGCTAAGGGGCTGGTGCCATCATTGCCCCCATACTCTGCTATATTGAAGAGCTTGTCAAGCTGAATCTTTACTCCTCCTTTGCCTCCTCCTCTCTTCCTGCAAGTCACAAAGTGCACTGGAGTCCTTGTATGAGATGTTGCCTGCTACTTCTTCCTGCATGAGTCAATGCTGCTTGGGCAATAATTCACTGTTCTGATCAGCTGTGCTTCTGTAGCATTAAACATTTTAAATACGTCTCCATCGTTTACTCTGTATAGAGCATGCAGCCAAAGCTCCAGCGCTGGTGAGTGCTGTGAAATCCAGGTGTTCTGGGAGGTGGTTCTTGGGCATAGGCATAAAGGTTCTAGGAGGTAGGTTAGCAAACGTGTTGTCTTGTGCAAAGACCCTCTTGGGAGCTGTGCGATATATGTTTGGCCATTGGGAGCCTCTAACTGTTGTTGCTGTTAATAGCTGCAGTTCCTGAGGCTTAGTCCAGTGAATTCCTTCATGTTGGATTTATCTTCTACGTATGTGTCTCCTCTGAGGGATGAACAAAGCCAAAGTGCTTTCGTAGCTCTACTCTTGTTGCTCACCTGTATCCACAGCGTTGGATCCTCTGGGACCCGGGCTCTCTGCGGGTATGAGACAGATGGGAACTAGTGCGCCTGGTTCCTAAGTCTGGAGTTTGCATCTCCTGAGCAGAGCCAGGCCTGAAGCAACCTGAAGGGAAAGCTGAGGAGCTGTGGAGCCCTGTGGTGGCGGGAGCCTGTCTGCCTGGCTGCACAGGCTGCTCCTGGTCGTGCCCGTGGCAATGTCTGCCTGAACTGGAACCCGGGCAGGTCGTTTGGCTTCTGTGCCGTGATTTCCCTTTGAGGTGAAGCCTGACGGAAGCCACAAAGCGCATGGAGGTAGCTATTTTAGAGCTAATGTGCTTGTTGTTGAGTGACTGGAGATGGTACAGTATCCAAGTTTGGTGTCCTCAAATATCTCTGCGCCCTCGTTCCTGTGTGTCTGTGTCCCCTGGCTATATAATGCTGCTCTAAACCCCTTGCTGCAGGGATGCTGAGGCTGTGCTGTGGCTTGTCCTGTAGGGAAGTGTAGAGGGGTTGTAGGACTGTCACCTGTAGCAAATCTGAACTGGGCCCATAACCAGATGTGTTAGTGCTGTGAGGCCCTCCTCGGTGCTCCCGCTTGAGGGAGGCTCCTCTGGAGAGCCCAAGGGCTGTGTGATCACAGGGGACTCCTTCACCCTGGCAATGGGCTCCCCACACCGGCGCTGGGCCTGGCTCGGAGGGACCTGCGGGCGCCTCTGCAGAGCAACGAGGGCTGCGGGAGCGGCTGGAAAACAAAGAGGATGGCA